TGCATTTCATTTTTTTTCTGTACAAATTTCTTTGCTTTCACTTTGTGAAAATGTTGCAATAGCTCTTTAATTCGCATTTATCATAAAACGCCAAAAAAATTATAATTCAAGATTTTGGTTTGATCAACAATATTTTTAAATATTTTAAACCAAAAAATATCATATAATATTTCTTTTTATTATAAATCTAATGTTTAACGTTAAAAAAATCTGATGGTGCCGTAAAATGTTTATCTTTTTCTGCGTCAAATCTTTGTATCATATTAAATTTCAAATCTAAATCTTGAAATATTTGTGAGAATGTTAGGTCCTAAGAAGGTGTAGTGGTTTACCTTGTAAGGATGATTTATAAAATAATAATAAAATTTTTTCCTATACAGGCTATACTGTTGAAAGAAATAGATTGAAAGAAAAAAAAAACTTGGGCCGGTCCAACAGGCTGGCAAGCAATCCTGTTGTCGTCAGGGGAAAACTCTAGTGTCCACGACCTAAAAAAAACACATCGGTATCATCGAGCGAGAGAGCGGCCGGGCAATCGTGGGAGGGGTGATGGGAAGAGCGCCACAGCCACCCGACGACGAGGAGCCGGGCAGGCGGTGGCGTGGCCGTAGCACGCGACCGCGGCGGCGCTGCTGGCGAGTTAGGTATTTCCCTGGTCTGACGGTCTCCAGCTAGTCGGCCAGCAGCCCCGGCCGATTAGTAGCATATACGCATTGTGTTAAGTAGGAAATTCCCGACGTCCTATTTAATTTACTTTTGTTGTTTGAGGAACAACAGGTGACTGATCCTGGATTAGAAATGGCATTTTATACTATAGTAATTTTAGTACTTTTCCGAGCCCTCCAAGTGAGGAATTTTTGCCTCACAGGAAGCACACACGACTCTCCTCCCTCGGTGGGCAATTGGCTGCTGCCTTTTTGTTCCTGTTAGATTTTAGCCGATGCTGAATCAATTCAGTCAAATAACCAGAATCTAAGTTTGAATTTGGAACATAATTAACTTTTAATAGAGAGCCGATGTTTTATTTCAAGTGCAGATTCAAAAATGATAACAAATATGTGACTGATAGACCCGCTGGAAAGGAGAACCCTAGTTGGCATGGGATGATTTTGTTTAACTTTTTCAAGGCGGTTTCCCTTTAATGTTTTCTAGCACACCTTATATTTTCTATTGGCTTTGTAATTTGAAATAGAGGTAGTATTTATTTTTCTTTGAGCTATTGTTTTAATGTAATATGAGAAATATCTCTAGTTACGTGAGAAGGTTATGTGATAGTAATCATGTCCTTTTGTTATGCCTTTTGGCGGCATATAATGGTCTTGCAACATTGCCGAGTTTAAGTCATTTGGGAGTATTGTACTGTTTGTTTCAGTTTGATGCAGGAACCTAGTTACAAGGCTCTGGTCACATCCATTTTAATGTATATGATTTGCTTGCTGATTTTTCTGAACTTTGGGCTGAAACTTAGCATGTCCAAGCTTGTCTTGGTCATGATTGTTTCTTTGCTTGCATCATCTTTGTTCTTTGGTGATACAAATAATAAGGATAATCATCCAATTACCCTGCTTGCTTGATCTAGTATACTTATGGTACTTTTGGTAGATAAATAATGCTCAGTGCCAGCAAAGTATTTGTTGTTATATTAGAATTTATTTTGTGGTGCAATTTAAGGTTGAAATATTGTTTTCTTGCATATGTTGGTTTGTTAAATGATCTATTATTACTTCTGAGGTTGCAACTATGTGTATATTTTGTCAATGTCTTTCCAACCTAGATTTTACATTTCACATTGTTGTTCTCGTTCAATTTTAAGAGCACTATACCGGTCCAGTATTATGCATGAGATGATTTTAGTTTTGAAGCACTTCTAAAATAAATTGGTCTCGTTTGATGGGTTTCACTGTTTCTAGGAGGTAAACAGCACAAGAGAGGGGGATAAAGTGGTTACTTTGAATGATCCACCACAGTACGAACAAGGTATGATATGAATGTGCGAGTGCTGTTATTATAATTGAACTGAAATGTCTTCTACTAGTAGACAAGATCTTTAAAATCCAAGTTAAAAATTTGGAGAAGTTGCGCCATGCCCACCTGTTACTTTTGAAACTTGGTATATTGCAAAGTCCCATCTTAATTTTCATGGTCTAAACACCTACCCCAAGTTCATATTGGTAGTTGTTGGTTTATATGTCTAAATTTTCATAGCTTAGGTGTAGACAGACTCTAAATTTTCAATTGATCATGTTAAAACATACAATTAGCTAAGCGCCAAACTTCCATTCCTAATTTGCAATTTTCTAACGGTGTCAGTAGAAAGCAGGTAAAAATGGAAAATGTCGCATGCATTATTTTTGTACTGATCCAGATATGCAAAGACAGTTTTGATAACTTTGCAAATCAAGAGGGTGAAAATCTGCAAGTCGGCAGAAGTAGGAAGTTGTTATAATCAAAATATGCTTCAATTAAATTATGTAAACATATGTATCCAGTTTTTTCTTAACTTGAATTAGCACCTGTATTTTGAATGGTTCTTCCTTCTTTTGGCCTGTTCTTTGGACTCTGTTGTATGTGCTACAATATGTTTATGCTATTTTTAACTGATTTATTTTTTATGGTAGGTTTTGGCTTGAGCTTTGTGTTGCTAACAATGGATTCTAAGACCATATGCCGGACCAAAGTCTGTGATGTTCCCAACACCATCAAAGTGTATGTTACTATTAACTTTTTCCAATTGCTTATTCTAGCTAGTGAGTACTACTTTATATACTAGCCCAGATCAAAATAAGTGTACACAGAATTATTAATGTTTTCTGTAGTATATTAGTGAACTGCAGAATTTAGTATGTACTATTCATGAGCGTGCTTTGGACTATTGCTATAAAATGAAATATTGTTATACTCGTGTTCAATCCTAGCACAATCCACTTGAATGTAGCTACTCTGTTTGACGGTACTTATTCAAGCTGGCCGTGCACCGATCTGAGGAAATAGTTGATGACATTAGAGCACATATACCCGTATTAAAGAGCATACTACAAATACTTAACTACTTATGACAGCAAAATAGGGATATACACATGGAACAACTACTCTCATGTCTTCCTGAACATGCAAACGTTATGAAATGCTCAACAAAATATTGTGGATTGGGGATAGTATTTTTATTATAAAGAAATAAATTTATGGAAGCATTATGTATTTGTTGTTCTGCCATTGATATTCATACTTGTACCCTTTTTTTTGTACCGATGTTCTATAAAGCCAGAACCCCAGAGTAATTTATGTTTTACCTTTTTGCAGTCCCTCTGTTTGGTCGATTAGTAGCACGTTCATGCCAACTAGGGAATACCGCCAGAGTGATTTCCTGAAATTTTCACTACTTCCTGATCCGGAAGATGGTAACCAGGCAAAGGAATGGGAAAGGTTTATAGGCTACCTTCGCGAAAGTGCCAAGGTAAATATTATCTCCACTGTGTGGGTATTTTATTTACTAGTAATTGCTAGACATACAACATATACCACCTCTTTAATAATATTTAAATCACCCTTCTAAAAGTAACGGTGTGAGGATTGGGCAACCATCAAGCTAACATCCTCTGAGATAAGAGAAGCAGCAGTATGTTGCTAACTACTCCCTCTGTGGCTGTAATAACGTCTTATATTATGGGACGGAGGGAGTATTACGCTAAATTCTCATAGATGCATTTTGATGTCTATAATGTGACTGCTCCTTCTTACCATGTGTTTTTCTTTGTAGGCCGGCATTGTTAAATTCAGCTCTGGAACCTTCCACATTCTTGCTCCTAAACCTCATTCTTCCTCTCATGTGGTGATCTTGTATGAGACTGGAATAAAAGAGCCTGGAGTCTGCAAAAATATGGCAGGGATATCTGGTGAGAGTTTTTCTAGCTAGAGATATTTATTATTAACTAGTCATGAACATATTTTAGCCAGGCTGCTGTATTATTCCCCTGTTTAATCCTGGGCAGCTCATTGCCTACCAGCACAACATCTCTAAACTAGCATTTTATTTGTGTTGGTTACATCACGTCGTCTCCCAAGAGTCGCATTTGCTATTTCCCTTTTTACTTCATGTGGATTATTACTGTTCATGTTGCGGAGGAAGTTCTATCCATAATGAAATATAAGCCATGATTGCTATTAGATTTTGCTGGTTTATTTAGTTTTTATTATTGACTGTTCTTCGCTTATTTGCTGTGTCAACAGGGATATCCAACGAGAGTGGGGAGATTTGTGACAACACATCACATCCTATGGGGATAATTTCTTCACAAAAACACCATAATCAGCATGGAATTTTGAACCCAGCAGTGACGAAGGGACCATCTATTGTTAAAAGAAATTTTGTCAGCACAAACCCTAATTATCTACGAACTCTTAGTCAGACACATGCTGGCTGGATCTTTGGAGCAATAGCAGAACTCATTGATAACTCCAGGGACGCTGGTGCATCCAGGTATGTCCTTGTCTTCAAAGTGTATTTTCGGAAAGGTGCTTGGTTGTTTATTCTTTAAATCTTTTGTAGGACTAGTTGGGCGGCGTGTGTTGTGTTGTGCTGCATTATGTAATATTAGTCAGTTAAGAGAATATGTAATAATTCAAGTTATATAACATAAAGATACTAGCTCTAAGAGAGATATTTTAAAAAAATCGTTATTATTTATTATTTATAAAACTAGTAAAATGAAATGTAGACTAAAAACCCCAGTGCGTGAAATGTTAAATATTATTTTTTAACCATCTTATTTTTCTTCGGTTTATTAACAGGATAGTTTGCTTCTCTCCCTAGGGAATATGTATATTGTATCCTGCTTTTGGCAGTATAGGGTTTTTCGGAGCTTCTTGCTTTCTTCCTGTTCGTAGTTTCCGGTTTCCACCACCTGTAGCAATACATATTCTCAATAATTCCTCACTGATGAGTACCTTAGACATGTTTTTTTAGATTATTTGGAGCTTTTTATTGTTTTTTTCCACTAACTGATTTGTTTCTTTTACTTTTACTTTTATTCACGGAAGGTTGGATATTTCCATCCAATCTATGTTTTCAAAGCAAGCAGGGCAAAAAGTTCCTGTCTTATGTGTTGTTGATAATGGCCATGGAATGACTTATGCCCAAATGATGAGAATGGTCTCATTTGGTCACAAAGGACCAAATGAACACTGCCAGGATCAGATTGGGAGGTTTGGAATTGGATTTAAGGTAAACTTCTGTCATTAAATGTCGTCAAATATTCTCATTCCTATACTGTCCTCGATTACTGATACTTCTTGTGACCGTTTTAAGTATTTTGATATGTACATCCATCATATGGTATTGATAAGATTTGTCTAATTTATTTGAACTGTGTAACTAAAACTTGCCTGACTGTTGCCTTATTAGACTATAGTGAACTACTTAGATGTGTAATTATATTGGTAATGAAGACAACACATACAAGAATGCAACGGTGTGGCTACTAAAAGCAGGGAACAGTGTGTTGTTCAGTATACCTGCAAACATGTTAGTTCTACAGTATCATTTGCTAAGTTTTCAGGTGTAATGTGAATGCCATGCTCTAGGTCGATTTGACTTCACTCCTTTTTGTACAGTAAACAAGTATGACTAGGAATTTTTAGTGTGTAACTTCGCAAACAATAATCAATTGTGTTGTTTTGTTGTAGACTGGTGCTATGGAACTTGGGAGAGATGCATTTGTGCTTACCCAAACTTCAACGTCCAGATCAGTATCCTTTCTATCCCAATCTTTTAATGAAAATAAAGATGTAAGCAAAGTTCTACTTATCCCTTCATTCTTTTTCTATAGGCATGTTAAAGCTATAGTAGTATGATTTTCTACAGAATCTTGAGATCCCTGTGGTGACATATTGCAAGAAAGATCAATACATGGAAGTTGATTTGGGTGTGCAGTCTGAAGCTACTGCAGAATATAACCTGAATGCTATCAAGAAATTTTCCCCATTTAATGAGTATTTCATTGGAGAAAAGGTGGGCTTATTTGGTGAAGAGGGTACTGGCACACAGGTTTACATATGGAATTTGGATAGATGGGGTACAAATTACACCTTAGAGTGGAACTCACAAAAAACTGATGAAAGCCCTGACAGTCATGGCAATGGGGACATATTAATCCGTTCAAGAAGAGTCAGATCACGTCCAGGACAAACAAATGGCAATGTATGTAATTTTTCATCCATATTAATATTTTTGTACTTTCCATTTTGAGAGAAGAGATAACCTCTCAGTTTCATTGCAGAAGCTACGAGTTAGTTGCGTCATTCGAATAGTTGTGTTAGTGGCAATATATTATTTTGACATTTTGATTCTTTGATATCTAATACCGATTCATTATTTTTCATGTTCTAATAGGTACCGTTGGATTATTCACTTAAAGCTTATGTAGAAGTTATGTTTCTGAATCCTCAGATGAAAATTACTGTCCAAGGGTCTCCGGTAAATACTCATATGCCATATTCTTTTATGTCGTGACATATTATATTCATGTTGCTTATGTTTCTTTCTATTTCCTAGCTCATAGTCTGTCATTTGGAAAAGACTCTTCGCAATACTTCGGTTTTGTCCGGGGAAATAATGGGAAGGACCATTCAGCTGACTCTAGGAACAAGTGATGTGGAATGGGGCAGAATGAACCGTGGAATTTTCTTGTATTGGCATGGTCGTCTAATAGAGGTGGGCTAGATGTTATTGTATTAAACTACACATCATGAGTTCGTGACAATTTTCATTTTTCTATGTTCCACACATTGTTCTTCCCTGACACATTTGCCATTAGAAATAACCAGTCATACTGAGGATGCAAATATATTTCTCTCATAGCTTGTGAGTAGAGATGGGGTAAGAATTTTATCCCCATCTGTGCTGAGCATGGAAAACTATGTGAAATGTAAAAACTAATAACTATTTGCAGGAACTAGATTGAGCTTTAATTGTACTTCACAAACAATTCATGATTGCTTTGTTCCAGCAAGCTGTTTGCGTCCTAGATTTTTTGCCATGCATTTTGTGCTTTTTAACTTTGATTTTGTATTCTTTCCCAGTCTTACAAAAGAGTTGGAGCTCAAAAGCATAATGCTGACACGGGCCGTGGAATAATAGGAGTTGCAGATATTACAAATCTCATTGTATGGTTCAGAATATCTTGGCCTTTTATCCATGTTCTTCAGTTTTCCTAGTTTTACTCTTGTGACCCTGTATTGAACTTATCCATGTGTTGCAGGATGATAAAGATGGTCATACTTGGGTTCTTAACAGTAAACAGGGGTTTCAAGATTGCGAGATATATGCAGAACTGGAGGAGTGGCTTGGTAGAAAAACCGATGAATACTGGGATGCAAATTTTGACCCTCTTAATTTGGTAAGGGAGTATGAGTCAGTTTATGTTGAAAACATCTTGTACATATCTGGTCATGAAGTACTTGAAGTAATCTCTCTAAGCACCTACGACATAGATTGATACCAGATAACTTTTAACTGTACTATTATTTAGAAAATCACCGCTTGTTATCATGAATTTATTTGACAAGTGTGAAAAAGAAAATGTTAGGGATGGCAACAGAGTGGGCACTCGCTATTCTCTCTACCGAGTGAGTCCCAAATCATAGTATTTGAAACGTGATAGACATGCACATATTGGTGGGACATACATATACCTATTTCCTCCAGATAATACATGCATTTACCTCCCACGTATATCTGGAAATATTATGTTTACTCATTTCAAGCTTATTTACTCTAGTAACTTTCTTTAAACAGAGAAAAAAGCCTGACAGCTCAGGGCTGTTGATGACTGGGTTCAGTGCTACAAATGCCGCAAATGGAGAATGCTGAATCCGTGCTTCAATATAGAGTATCTACCATCAGAATGGTGTGTATGCAATCGAGCTCACTTTTATCATGTAGATGCACATTATTGATGAAAATGCGATGATTTTATCAATATCCTTTTTACATCTCTGAAGTGTTAATGTTGTGAAATTTCAGGTTTTGCTACATGCCGCCTTTCAATGGGCACTGTGATATTCCAGAGCAACAAATGGAAGTTGGTGTGATCACAGTTGCTGAGAAGAGATGCGGCCACAATAAGGTAGCCCTGAGGGAGGTTGAGAGATCCAGCCAAGAAGAAGACGTGAAGGTAAACAAAATCCAAAGCTTAACGTGTAGTCCTTTTCTTTTTGTAGTCAAAGTTACTAAGAGAAAATATTTGACCCTCTTGTGTGCTCAGAATGTCATGTTAATCCCACCAGCCGACAGCAAGGGAAACGGGAAGAGATCTTCTTCAGGTTCCATGAGCTTGGAAGGTATGAATGCTGTGTAACAGAGTCTCTAGATGGATTTTCTTACCCGGACTAACGATGTGCGATCCGATGGTTTTGAAGACGATCTCCCGCAAGCCGAGTCTGGAACCACTCAGCCCCCTTTGAAGCGGCTGTCGAGGGGTCCGAGGGCAGCTGTAAGAAACAGTGCTGAATGAGTACGCCTGGTAACCGTCATTTTTCTTTTTCTTTTGTAACCAAGTTCGTGAAGATTTCATTTCTCATTTTACTAAATCCCTTTTTTCATTATACTTGGTTGTAGGCACGAGTGACTACCCTGTTGTGAAGCTCCATGTGGCCATGTGGGGTCGTCGCACGAATCTTCAGGCACCTTTGGTCAACGAAATGGAGCTGCAGGCCACACCCTTCTGTTGCTTCTGAATGACTTGATCGCTCTCCGCTTCCTTCTAAATGTTATGCGCAGCGGTGTATTTTTTTACTCTTTCAAATGTACTGTAGTTAGTGACATAGCTATTAACTTGTCATTACAAGATCAAAATAAGGATATGGCACTGCCTCATTACCTCAGCTTGCATTGCATGCAAACAATATGTGTACTCGTCGTGCTTCTGAGCTCTAAAACCCTCTCTGTGTCTATTTTGTACTACATGACACGTTAGTCATACGCAAACCCTTGAGCAGGTTATGCGTACGAGATGTAATTTGTGGCTGTCCATTCATATTCAGTACATTTTCTAGTACTATGTGAAGTTTTTGGGTGTATGCATTGCTCTGGTAGTTTTATGTGGGTTGACACAGAGCTCACCACAAAGAACATAGACCGGTCGACGTGCAGCTCCCCAGTCAGACTTATCAGAGATCGAGATGAGTGCAGGCCCCAGACATGCCAAACAACACTTGTGAAGGCGTCATCAGATCATCTTTGCTGGTAACTGGATGAAACACCTGGCTTCCTAGGATGCCTTTGGTTTACATATCTGTTTTAGAGCATTTTGCATACTTGTCCCAGTTAAACCAGGTTGGGCAAATGCAGGCTAAAAACCGACAATGTGCGTGTAGTTTGGTTGCTTGCATTAGGCTCCATGCATGAGGGGAGCAATTAGTCAGCATGCTGTTTGGTTGCCTGCATCACTGTTGTCAGACAAACAACATGTTGTTTGGTTACAAACGGCTAAAGATATGATCACCACTTCTTTTTTTAGAACAAAGACGCAAGGAGCGTCCGGCTTTAACTTAATAAAGCCCACGAACAGGTAGCATCCGACAAACAAGACACTCTTAAACGAAAGGAAAGTGGCCGAAGTCTTAGTTTTAACATGCAACCGGCCTAGGCCTGAGAGAGATAAGGCAAAAGTCTAAACATGCCAACACCGGCATAAGAGGAACGATCATCGACATCTAGTGACGGGCAGCAATCTGGATCAGTCGAATCCGCTCCATCGCCTCCTGCATCCGCTCAGCGTCCCGCCGTTTCCCCAACGACATCCAAGTCTAGAGGAACAAATGGCATTTGAAAATAATGTCAGCGGGTGAGAGGGAAATTTGTGCTCTATAGTGATTTTGTTTCTAGTAGTCCATAGAGTCCAGAAAAGCGCCCCTACGCATCTCCAAAGCACTCGACCGAACCCACCCCTATGGGCCAAAAGAATATCGCAGAGGTCTCTACTCGAGTGGGGATTCCAATTTTGATCAAAGGCTTCCTGGACCGCACTCCAAGTGAAGCGAGCGAGATGGCAATTGAAGAAGATATGGTTTGCATCCTCGTGCGCACCACACATCACACAATTGCCATCGGACGGCCCGTTCCGATTTGCTATGTTGTTAGAGGACGGTAGGCGGTCGCGGAACATTTGCCAAAGGAAAACTTTAATTTTGAGTGTCGGGCCCTTTGTCAACTTATTGTAAAGAGACTTAACCGTGAATTTCCGGGAGCTCGTGAGGGACCAAGAGACCGTATCGGCCTCGGGTCTCAACATCACAACCGCAAGGGCATTACGTAACTCGTCCCAGCCAACCCGTTCGGCGTCAGAGAGGGGCCTTTTGAAAGTAATGGCTGGCGAGTTTGTTCTAAGCGCGTCGGCAACGAGGATATCGATGTTAGTAGCAAGTTGGTATATGGAGGAGTGGCTACGCCACAACGGCTCCTGACCGAACCAGTGATCTAACCAAAATCATGTGGATCTTCCGTCGTTAATGCAGAGCTTAGCTCCAAGCGTGAAGGCCAGTTTGACACCCTGGACCCATTCCAGAATGTCGACCTTTTGGCCTTGGAGGTAAGGAAATTCCCGTCGGGGAAGTATTTCGCTCTCAGAATATCCGCCCAGAGCCCCTGCTCATTTTGGGCGAGTTTCCAGAGCCACTTTGAGAGAAGGGCAACGTTCATAAGTTTGGAATTGAGAATCCCTAGGCCACCATATTTCTTCGGCCGACATATCGCTGCCCACTTAACTAAGTGGTACTTCTTTTTGGACCGAGTTCCTTCCCAAAAGAACATGGATTGGGGGGTGTCGAGCTTGGCGTGAACACCGTCTGCTAGGAGGAACATGCCCATGGTAAACATGGGCAGAGAGGAGAGACTAGTGTTCGTCAGAATGAGCCTAGCTACCGAAGACATGAACCGGCCACGCCATGGGCTGACCCGGTTTGCCACCTTGCTGTACATGGGTTCCCATTCTTGGATAGATATGTGTTTGTCAGAGATGGGGAGGCCCAAGTACTTAAACGGAACGCTCCCAAGCTTACGGTTCAGCAGGTTGGCAACACGCAAAGGGAGAGGTGCGGCCATCCCAATGGCTATTACCTCACTCTTAAGGAAATTTATCTTGAGGCCGGAAACAATCTCGAAAGCAAGGAGGATGAGCTTGCTCGAGGCAATAATGTGATCGTCCAGCTCAAAGAGCAGCATGGTATCATCCGTGTATTGCAGGTGAGAGACCCCTCCTAGAATGAGGTGGGGGACGACACCGCGGATGTGGTCGGCACCCTTCGCCTTTGTGATCATGGCCGAGAGGGCGTCCGCAACAAAATTGAAGATAAGAGGGGAGGATGGGTCACCCTGCCTAAGCCATCTCTTGTTGCGGAAGAAGTTCCCAACTTCTCCGTTTATAGACACTATCGTCTGGCCCCCCGAGACTAGCTGCATAATACGGTGCACAAAGCCTGACTCGAAGCCCTTACGGACGAGGACCTCGCGAATGAACTCCCAGTTCACTCCGTCATATGCTTTTTCAAAATCCAGCTTGAG